CATATCCCCATGGTTGTAGATCTCATTTGTTTTGTTGTCTGGTTGCTTGGGGCTGGGAAAATTTCCAAAGCTCATCAATAACAATAATATAGATGCCTATGGGCTGGGTGACAGAGCTGAGCAAACACGAACACCGAGGAAAATATTGAACTCATGACTTTCTTGCTAAAGTAAGGCTCAAATCACCCTTTTCCCCAAACACTGTACGGCCTCACTCTTGCCATCTTTGAAATAAGGCAGGTGAACCCCATCCTCCTTTCCCGCCTTTCCTTCCTGTCTTGCAGAACTTAGCAGACACAAACAGGACTAGGACTCCCTTAGGGTTTCTGCATCCCATTCAGGAAGCACAGATAATGTAACCATCCTGCAAATCCTGCCTGCTTCTCTTCACTTGCTTATAGCCAGACTCTTCTTCAGCATCCCGTCAGTTCAGCTGTCTGCATCCAGTCCCTGGTAAAGAGTGATGCCTCGTGGTTCCTAAGGGAATCTCTCCTTAGCCTTCTGTTGCTACTTCTGCAGAGTCACCCTTTGGTCTCTTCAGGCTGTGCCATTACCACTTTGGAGTCTTTCTGTCTTCCTGCCAGGATCTTTGCCCACACCATCTTGGCCTGGAGAATACTCGGTACAGTTCTGACTTGTCATTTTTTTTGAGTGATGAATTACCACATCTCCTCCCCTTAAATTTCAAGATTTCTGATGGCAATCACTATAATCCTTATTTGTCAATGTATATCTGGTCCTAGGATAGTGCCGGCCATGTAGAAGATACTCAAATAAATATTTACTCAATAGATGACTAGATAAGCAGATGAGTGGCTCATATGGAGATTTAATGGGAGATTCTATATGAAAATGCTTGGTAAACCATACAATTATTGTAGTTAGATGGTATTGTACAACACTCGGTATAATGCTTGGTACAATTGTACCAACAAGCATGGTAAAATGCTTGTTCTATGGAGAGACAAACCCTACAAAGATACACTGGTTAGGGCAATCATTGGTTGTGCTAGGGATAGAAGATGTTAGTTACCAGAGGACGCCGGTTCCATCTAGGCCTGTCCCCTCCTTGTTTACAACAAATTCAAAGGAAAGAACTAGACTCCGAAAGTGGGTCTTTTCTGTCTTCCTCTGCTATAGTATCTTCTCAGTTGGTTTATGGAGATAGCTTCAGAAGGGAAGTTAAGATCTGTGAGTGCTACGAAGCACCGGGGATTCTTTGTATTACTGTTTAGTTAATCTTTGCAGCCGCTTTTCAGGCTGACATTACCCAACCTTATCAAAAACAGAGAGAGATTAAGTAATTTGCTCAAGATTTTCACAGTTCACTGGCAGGTGGTACAGAATGGAAACTAGAGTGTATCAGTTTGCAGGGCCCTTGGTCTTTCGACTGAATGTTCTGGCTCTTTAACAAAAGCCAAGGGGCCGGTGCACAAGCAGACTTCAAGAGAAACCCACATCTGGAGCTGTTGATAAGATAGGAAATGTGAACCACATAGAGGTTCCAGTGATTTCACCCCACACCCAGAGAGACTGCAAAAGACAGCAATGCATTTGGGGGACTTGAACCCAGATCTTGACTACCCCAGCCTAATGATATTTAAATTATGCTTGTCTGACATAAAAATATATTACAACTTGCTAAAAAATGTGCTGCCTTCTGCTAAGTGCTGTCGGCTGCTTCCATTTTAATCTCACTGCTCGTCTTGTTCTACTTCATGTTACTCCAAAAGATACTGCAGAGTCCCATTAAGGGTTTTTTTTTGGACATCTGTTACTTTTTAAAATCTTCATTTATTGTTTTATTAACTATTTTTATTAAAACAGTAATGCACACAGAGTAGAAAATTTCAATAGTACAATAGGGCATATGGGAAAATGTGTCTTTTTCTTCCTTGTAGATCTCCTCCCACCATCACCACTTTCTTAGCCATCTTTCTAGAAATATTCTCCATAGATGCAAATATGTATATGTATATATATTCATATGTGGTTATGTATATCTCTTCTAATGGCCAAGAATAATTCTATGTTTTGCAGAAGTGATAATGTATAACATCAAACGTTTCTCTCTAATCCTACCCAAATTCTTACTTCAAACTCCTGATTGCCTTCTATTTATTTATATGGTTGGGATTCATTATTGGAGGTACAAGGAACTTGGCAGCACTACAGCGTTTGGCAAGATAACTCTTCCTTTTCTTATAGCAGTAGTTAAAAGCCTGTTCCAGAATGAAATTAATCTGGTAGTTCAAATAAGTTGATATTTATTAAGCAATGAGAAGTGCCCTGATGTGGCAGAGGTGGCATGGGAAGTGGGAATCATCAGTCCCTGGCTCTTCCACCAGCAGTGGGGTCCTCAACAAGTCACTTACTGTCCTTGAGATTCAGTTTTCCTACCACAAAATTCAGAAAGCAAGGCAAGATACTGTGTCTATGCCTTCCTGCTTTGCCATTTTATGGCTCTGTGAATTCTGGTTAAGAATATCCTATACTGGCAATAGAGAACTTGGGAATTTCCCGCATTAGTTCTCTCAGTGAAATATTTCTTGCTCTTTTAGATGGATAGGAGGATTTCAGTCCCTCTCCTTTGATGTCCCACAGCCATGTGACTTGGTAGTGGTCTGTGACATGGAAGTGGACAGCATGTGCTTCACTCCTGGGTGGAAGCTACAGAAGCCAATGTGTGATTCTTCATGTTCCCTTTTTCTGGCTCAGCCCTCATGGGCACAGGGGGATGAAGCCTTCCTCAGTCTAGGTCCCTAAGTGGAGGCACTGGAAGCAGAGCACCAGATGAACCACTATGGACCTACAGAGTGAGCAAGAAACAAACCTGCATTATTTTAAGTCAAGAAAATTTGTGGTTGTTATGGTGCTCCCTCTAATGTAGATCGACCAAAGCATCGTGTGAATATGAGGTATGTTTCTAGAAAGTCAGGAACTGCAGAGCAATGATAGTGATCTCCCAGTATGTGTATAGCTCATTTTGTATTTATGCAGGATTTTTCAGTGATCTTTCTAGCCATTTTTAATTCTTGGTGGAATTTGTGGTTGTCTTTTCCCCACTCTTTTCTATCATCTTTCTTCTTCTTTTATTCATCCCTGTTCCCTTTTAATCTGTTTCCTAAACTTTTGACCTGTTTCCCTATTTTATATTCCATCTTCTGAGAGCCCGCTCTCTCCTCTCCTGTCCCCTCCTGCGTTCCTCCTTTGCCTACAAAGCATTTTCTTGACACTTATCCTGACAATTGCTTCCCTGGGTCTGCCTTTCAGCTTCATAAAGCCCCATGTGGTCTCTACTTCCAGCCTCTTTCATGCATCTTTCTTCTTTCTTTTGGATCCTATTGAATCTGCTTTGTCTGAATTTTCTCATCAGACAGACAAACATCTTCTCACATGTGTATGGAACATCCTCATCCTCACCGGCCTACTGATATGGCACATGGTTCTTTCATTCTCCTTTGGTAACTGTTAATTTCAGTGGCTCTTTCATTTCTGAGACCTTTCCCAAATTATGGATGTTCACCTTTATTCCTATGGGTACTTCCTGGATCTCTACCATGAATGGGTCACTGTGCTGGTGATGAGAAACTCCAAGGCTATCTGGCACACAGAGATAGGGCTGAGGAGTTGTCCATCCTGGGAGTTCTGGAGATGCCAGACCTTGGAGAGTCATGACAGTAACCTGGCAGTCTGGGCTCAGCTCCAATTTGGATGGACTGGACAGTAGCCAGGTGTCTGGGGAAGGATACCCAGGGCTAACTGAGCACATCACAATTCAGAGTCATGGTCAGGCACCAAGGGCACAAGAGTATGAGGCAGATGAGGTGTCAGCAAGTGGGACTTGGAGGAGGGACTGGGTGTAACAAATTCTGATGTTCAGAGCTCTGCTGGAGATCCCATTGGAAAACAAGGGGCATCTCCAAGGTTCTTCAATAAAGGACCACTTAACAACTAGCATTTCTAAACCAACAGGAGAGGAAACACATGCTCAACCCATCCTAATGCAGAGTGAATTGAGATACCAGCCACGAGGGAGCCAGGGACTATTGGGCAGCGGAAGGAAGAAAGCAGTCCTAAGTGGGGCTACCACTGGGCGACTCAGAGAGGAAGGCTTTGCAGAGATGTCTCAGCTGGCCTCACCACACAAGGACAATAATCCCTCCATGCAGGCTACAGAGAGACAGGACACAAGGAGGAGGGGTGTGAGTGTGGAAGCTTTACGTGTTTGTGGAATTGTACCAGCTACAGAAGAAAGTCAGGGTAAGAACGAAGGCAAAGGTGACTCCCACAGTCTATCCCCTCAAAGTCCTCAATAGTTTTCTCTTTCCTTTGAGAATCAGCTTGTCCTAGAATGATGGTGGCCTTCCTTCTGAGGCAGGCTGTGATCTTAAAGTGAAAGGGAACAGTTTGCAAGGTGGCTGTGAATGGAGATTCTGGACTCAGATGACACGGGCTCCATCTTAGCTCGCCGTTTGCTAACTAGGAGAAGCCAGGAAAGTTTCCTTGACTGACTAATTCTCTATTTGTTTATCTATAAAATACAAAAGATTACATTACTATAGCAAGGACTGAATGACATATTTCTTATAGTTGTGGCATATGAGAAATCTTCAATAAATCACTCGCTATTGTAACTAAATGTATTGCTCATCAGAGTTAAGTCAGGGGACAGAGAGTACTCTAGATACAGTATTTCAAACTGGAAAGGATTTAACGCAGGAACTACGTGCTTTTGACAGCTAGATAAGTGGAAGCAAGCAGAGCAGTCATTAGCTTTCGGCTTTGATTCTCAGAATCACAAAGTCACTGCCTCCAAGGGGCCCAGAACCAGCAGGAAGCCACATGGGCAATGGTCACAGGTGGTGGCCCTGCAACCCCCGCTGATTAGGAGGACATGAGGGGGATCAATGACAACGTGTCTTTTATTGTAATACATTTATAATTTAAACACAGTTTTTCGGATCACACTGAATATGTTACAGTTAGAGGCAGGAGGATACAGTGGTTAGAACAGCCTGTAATCAGTGCTGCAGAAGCCTCTGCTACTGAATTATGGCCCCTACTTGATCCATCACTGTCTGAATCCCCTTCCGCCCACCTTGGTAAAGACTCTTAGGGGCCAGAGGCCATGAAAGAAACCCCTGCCCTGGTCACTGTGGACACAATTCGACGGTGCCCAGGAGCGCTTGTGTGTTTGTGGGGGCTGAGTGTCCACGGGGCTCTGAGTAATTCGCGTTAGGACAGGGACATGTCTCAGCTCATTGTCGCCTTTGAGACCCCTTTTGTTATGAAGACGCTTGTTGTCTAAAGGCAGCTAAATTTAGCCATATTTTGTCAGCTAGAATGTACGCCCTGAAGAGAAGGCTAGCAAATCTGAGCCATGTCACACTTTATTAGTCATGCGAGCACTTAAAAGCACGGTAGAAGCTGGGCTTCCCGGGACTGGCAGTGACACAGGTGAGAAGTGCTGTGCCGACTCTTTTAGGATTTACCTCCAGAAGCAGGATGGAGGGAAGGCATGAAATCTCCTAAACAATGAGTGATTTCTTTCCCTTCTTGCAAGATTCACAAATGGGATATTCAAATGAGGAGAAAATGTTGAAGTGGGATAGATGCTGTTCCCGTGGCCTTTTTCTTAGAATCATCATCTGACTCCAGTCCCATTTGAATTCAGAAATGTTGTTTCATTGCTGACACTTGGTTAGCTATTTGAGATGCGGATGGGGAAAGAGGCTCATCTTCACCGTGTCAACTATGAAGTAGGCACTTCCTATTCATCCTTTGCTGTAGGTGGAAAAATGATGCAATAAGGTGAGAAACATGAGCTTCATTTGAAAAAGAAGAAATTAAAACTCTGAGATGGGTAAAAAGGGCCAGGTATGAATTCACTTTGCTGAAGTCCATGTTATTTCTACAACTAGGGTCATTGTACATTGAAGAATTTGATTTAACCATAGCTTTGGGACTGAAATATCTTGGCCTTGGTGTTGGCTTCCTTTTCCAGGGTTCACAGTGCTCTGGCAGGGCTGTGTAACATCATCCTTCAAGGTCCAGGGTTCAAGTAGAAGCTGAGTGACTCTGATCACCAAGCACTCTCCATGCCACTGGGTCCATGTCACTACGGCTGTTATTAAACAGAATCTCTTGTCTAAAATCAGGCATGTGTCTGCTTCTCCATGGGGCCCATAAAATGCAAAAGAAACGCCCTCTGCTGTCTGAGGAAACAGGAGCTCTCCATACCCTTTGTTCATCTGGGAGTCTACAGTAGGTTAATAATGGAAACTCCCAACAACCCTTTCCTGTAAAATGTCTGGGGTTTCTCAATATGTAAAGGCAAATGCTTAATTCAGTAAGACAAGATGCCTCCATGCATCCTGCAAAGAGCAGTCACCACAGTGTCCCCACCCCACCACATCTTTCCTTTCCTGTAAAGGGCCAATCAGAATACCAGCTGGGATATCTGAGGTCTTTCTCTCACCTAGAAGAGCATTATGAGATTTATGACCCTCTGTGACCTGGCTTTCAGAGTGTCAGTGGTGCAAGGGGCCTTGAGGACCAAAAAATCAAGTCCACAGAAGTGAAGCAATACCTGTAAGGTTTGACTGCTAGTCAGCGACAGAACCTGGATCAAACCAGGTCTTCTGACTTGATGGTCAACAGGTGGCAACATGACAGCTGGAGGCCTATGTTCTTGACTTCACCTCCATACAACTATGTGACCTCAGGAAAATTTTAACAGCCCTGAGTCTCACTTTTTTCATCCAGAACAGGATGAAGGGTAGTAGAGAAGATTAGTGATAATCAAGTATCCACTGAGTACCTGCCATAGAATAGGTTATCAGTAAATGGTCACTGATACTATTAAGGGGTAAAAACATCAAGGGATGTAAGAGTTAAGGAAAGGAGAGGTGAGCTTACTGGAGTGGTAAGGAAGGACTGCTTGGAAAAAGGCATCAAATGAGGCCTTTTCCTAATATTTGGATAGGGATAGGAATAAGTAGGGCATTCTTGGTGGCAACAATGAAGTAAGCCAGAGTTTGTAGGCGAGAAAGCTAAGGTCCAATCTAAGGATAGTGAAAAACCTGTTTGATTAGAATAATAGGTTCAGGAAAGTGAGCTGCTGGAGTTTAGTCTCTGAAGGTTTGGGGGAGGGCAACTTGAATGTCATGCTAAGGAAGTTGGGCCTGTAGGCAGTGGAGAACCTTTAAAGAATTCAGAACAGAAGAATTATTGAATACAGCAAATCAATCCGCTGTGACTCAGAAGGTGAACTGGAACCAGAAGCAACTGGAGGTCAGCAGACTAGAGGAAGGGTTCTTGTAGCAGACCAGACAGTAGAGGAATAATCCAAATAAAAGTTGTGGCTGCTGAAATGAGCAGGAAAAGTTGTCAGGAAGAGTCAATACTATAGTAGGAAAGAGAGTTTAATTAGCTTTATAATGTAGAGAGGGAATATTCATGGCTTGTTGGGTTGAGCACTATATTTTTAAAGAAAAGGTGTCCCAATCCACATATCTACAAGAAAAGGAGCATGATAAATGATTAAGCCAAAATGAGTAAAAGACTTTAAGAAATGATAAAATGAACTCAAATGAAGATTGAATGTTCAAGATCTGCAAGTCTTGGCTCAAACACAACCCCTTAGGGTTAACTTTCAATATGCATCTTGGTGATTCTTCAAAGTCTTTTCACTAATGGCAGACCTCGTTGATGAAAAATGATGGTTGCATATTAAGTCGGTAGCATAGGCAGCCTACGTCTACCTTCCTTATTTCTACACGGAGGCTCATGGAGCCTTTCGTAATGATCCTTTCCCTCTCGCCTCAATGGTAATGCTCAGAGCTGCCATTCTCCTAAGTGCTTGGCAGAATGCTGGAGCCCTGTGCTGTTGCATGAAGGAAGGCATCATACTCATATCTACAGGCTATTTGGACAAAAAGAATGTAGTATAAATGTATAAAATTGTTAACTAAGTAACCAAAAAGGCAGAAGAACACTAAATTATCACAGTTAGCAACAATTGCAGCGATCACTCCTAAGACTAGTATTACTAATGACGCCAGCTGGTTTCCGTAGGGCTGGTTCTGCTAAATGCTAAAAGCCTGCAAGGAGAGCACTGAGGAGCTGCAACTTCGATCTCGAAGAATGGGCACTGCTTGTCAAGTAAGCGTTAGACTCTGAGCTCAAAGAAGCAAGGGTTCCCCCAAGAGCCTGGGATCCAGAAGGCCAAAGAGAGGGTGCCAGCCAACCGTTATCTCTTAAGCAACGAGGCTGTTTCTGCAAGGTCTGGAAAAAGAACAAACTGGATTCAGCTGCTGCTAGAAGAAATACTTGCTGCTGCCAACCGGAAGCAGCCATGCCACGATGATGCTTACAGGTGTGAAAGGAACAGGAAACAACCAGGAAGTCCCCTCTCCTGGCTCCCTAGCCCCAGCATTGCCGACGCCCCCTACTGGCAGAGTCTGACAGGGAGCCTGGTGGCAGAGCACAAATGAGGCCTGTGGTGGGGATCCCTGAACTTCCAGCTGAGTCAAGAGCAATGGGTTTAGAGCTGAATCACAGTAGCTCAGTGACAGGCACATGCTACTTCCTGCCTCAGCCTCCTGGATAGTCTGAGAAGTTCCAGAGAAAAGAAATTGGCTCAGAACTTACAGGCGTCTTTTTAGGTGCCCTTCCCTTCCCCAGTGTACTGCAATACAAATGTATAAATTAACAGGCTGGATCTATACAAATTGACATAGAGAGACTCCCATTATGAATCACTTTACTTTCATATGAAAAGCAAGTTACGTATTTATATAAAAATAGAGAAGAAGGCTCTATGCCAAGCTATAAACAGTGGTTACCATCTGTTAGGGAGGTATTAGTTATTGGATTTCTTTTGCTTTCTACTTCATTTCTCTATTGTTTGTATTTTTTAATATGAAGGTATGTTATTTCATAATCAGAAAAAAATCCTATTGCTTTTGGAGGAAAAGGAAAGAACCACTTAAAAATGACATTCTCCCCAATGCTACTGATGCTATAGTTAAGATGTGGTGCTCAGACTGAACAGAGTAATTTTGAAGATAAGGAGAAAGGAGGTTATCAGCACTTATTGAACACTTAGTCCATGCCATGCTGTTGGGAAGTGCTATAAAGTGTCACAGTTGATCATCTCATCAACTCTATTGTTCCCATCTTCCAGAGAAAAGAACAAGGCTCAGAGTAATAAACAATTGCTCAAGACCTAAAAAGAAGGAACAACTAAAAGCTGACCGTACCGCACTGCTTTATTTTCTATCTTGTAGTTGTACCTTACATCACTTATCTTTCTGCCTGACATTATACATATATTTTTATTTATTTATTTATTTTTAGCTAATTTATTTTTCTAACACATCATACTCCTTGTGATGGGTGTTATAGGCTGAATGATGTCCTCCCTCCAAATTCTAGTCCTTGGAGTCCTAACCCTCAAGAATATCACAGAGATCACTAATGCAGAGAGGCTGTGACTACATTTGGAAATCGGACCTTTAAAGGGGAGAGGGAGTAAAGTGAGGCCCTGAGGGTGTGTCCTGATCCATTCTGACAAGAGTCCTGAGTGGAAGACACTGGACGCACCAAGAGCTGCCACCAGGTCTGGTCACACCCAGACTGAGGACGACCATGGCAGGAGAGTGGGAAAAGGTGGCCGTCTGTCTGCAAAGCAAGAGGAGATGGCTCAGGAGAAACCGAGTCTGCTAATGCCTCAGTCTGGGACTTCCAGCCTCCAGAACTGTGAGAAAATAAATTTCTGTAGTTTATGCCACCTAGTTTGTGGTATTTTGTTTAGCAGCCTAAGCAGATCAACACAAGGGAATTCTTATGGATTATACTTACGGAAATTGTCTACTAGTGCTTTGCATGCAATAGATCCTATGAGAGTATTTGCATTATTTATCATCTTCACCTTTTCTCTTTTACTCATGTATTCAATAAGTCTTACTTGCATAGTTCCCTGGGCCAGTTGTAGATCTTGCAGATAAAACAGTGATCAAAACAAGAAAAATCTCTGCCATCACACAGCTTAGCTAGGGGAGGAGATAAGAAGCAAATTAAATAAACACTTCTATATAGCAGTATATAAGTAAAATTTATAATATGATAAATAATGAGAAATATTAAAGAGAGGGGAAGAGGATATGGAATGGGGAGAGGGAGGTGACAGGGTAGACTTCACAATGTAGGATACGTTGGGATAAAGAACGGTGGCTTTTAGAATCCAGAGATGATTTTAAGTGTCCGAAAGCCCGCAAGTTTGTACTTCCTGCCCTCTTCCTGGTCTAAACCTACATCACTGTAGGTCGCTAACCAGCTACAGGATCCAGAGGTCAACCAGAGACCTGTTTCTTGGGACAGTTAAGTCCCCCAGGGGAGTATCTCTGAATCAGGAAACAGTTTCTTTTCCTCACCATCAAAGCTTTACCATTACAATCCCTCCACTCTATCCACCCTGCAAAAAAAAAAAAAAGCCTCAAAGTTATTTCTATCCAGTCAAAAATGGAAATGGTTTGTAGCATTTGTCTGCATGCTGGTGAGAAAGGACCTAGGATGCTTCATGTTTGCTTGCACCGCTTCCTCTTTAAACAGCAGGAGAAAACAGGGAAGAGTAGTGGTTGAAAAAGAGCAGAGAGACTGAATTGTTTCCAGGATTTACTGATTTGCTGGCTGACCTCAACTAAATCTCCTTAACCTCCCTTTCTTGAAGCTTTCATTCCACACAATAGCAGGGATAAAGAAATTTGTGGTTTTGATGTTGTTATCAAATGTTTAGAGCTGTGGGTGGAAGAGAGAAAAGCAGCTGCTGTGTTTTCATGGTCTTTCCATTCCCTTTCCCCTTCTCCTGACCCAAAAGGGCACAAGCGTCTGCGACCTCACAGGTCCTCTTACTCTTTGGGGACAGGCTTTGCTCAAACCTAGTGGCTATGAGCTAACAGGACAGCGGCTGCCTTGGCATGCAGCATGCCCTTGCTTGGTCTATCTCAGCTTCACTATGCCCCTCTGCACCTGCAGGGTGATGTCAGTAACGGGAAGAAGCCCCAAAGACAAAGAACTAAGTGAATTTCAGCCACCACTAGGCTGCTGGGTTGCCTGGGAATAGAGTTCAAGGATCCAGAAGGCCACTTCCCAGAGAGGACCTCTGTTCTGATGCCTCCTGTGGGTCAGGTCCTGAGACTGGAGGGGGTAAATCCTGCAAGCACAATCACTGCCCATGTGAGGCTGCAGCAGCAGCAGCCTGAGGACTGGTTCCATGCTCCTGGGGACTGACGGGTAAAGGCAGCACAAGGTGAAGAGGCTCTGGCTGGCGACAGAGACCTGGAGGTGCCCATTCCTGGGTCCTTGTCTACCCAGGCCAGATCCCCTTAGGATTCCCCTAAATGACAGATGGCTCTCCCGGATGGCCAATCGGCACAGATGTGACCCCAGCCTTCAGATAAACAATGGCCCTTGCTGGCATGTACAGTAACCTAAATTTCTCTAATTATGAACCCAGCCAATGCCACAGTCTTGGACAGACCCTGTTTCCAGGCCCCATGGTCAATTTAAGGACAGAGGCAATGCATAGAATAGAAGATGGGATTGTGTGGGCAAAGCCTGCTTGCTGGTCCCAAGTCCTCCACCAAATGCCTGAACGACCTCCTTTGCTGGTCTCAGTGTCCTCACATGAGGCTAGAAGGTCACAGCCATGGAGTTATGTGCAATGTAGGTTTTATTGTCCTGTCCCCTTGAGAGCTCCTTGAAGTCTATTTACACTTCATGCCACTTGTAGTAGTGACTTCATCTTGCAGAGAGCAAGAGGGACAGGAGAAGGAAGCTCATGGCTTTTCCCTTGCACTCCCTCTGAGCTACTATTTCAGGTGAATTACCCTAGTTCATTTCTCACGTGTGAAAACCAGCCCTGGCCTCTGTCAGCCTCCACACAGCTGTCCGTTCTTTGGTCCATTTCCACCCTGGAGCAATCACATGAACAGAACCCTTGCATGGGGCCTTTGTGTGGGAAGCAAATGGAAGGCAAATGGGAGGAGAAGGAAGGCAGCTTTGAGGGGATGCCCAGCATCCGAGAGTCCATCCCTTCCAACCTGGGCTCCTGGCATTGGCCATGTAAGTTTGGCTTGTTTTTCCTCCCCATATCCTGTTTCCTCTCAGAAAATCCTCTCACTTCCTACTTAGAGAATCCACTTTTGGGTCTGCCCTTGTCTTCCAGGTCTGCTTTTTCCTTCTACACCTTCTAGAACCTTTATATTTTCACTCTCAGATGGTCCAACAATGTATTTTCCTCCATATGGTCTGTTCCTTTCTAGAGCAATTCTGTACTAGTTGTGTTCACACACATGTGCACATACACACTCATACTCAGACCGTCCAAACTCATGAGTCCTCAACATCTTGAATTAACAAGAATTGCTGTACACCTGCTGTGATTGGCACTGGACTGCCAGCTCTGAGACCCAAAAACAATGTATCCAGATTGGCATCTTCTTAGGTGGGAAAGCAAGATCAAACACGTAGGGAACTGAGTATCGCTAACTGGCAAAATGTACACTGGAAAGGTTCAGGCATAGAAAGACCAGTCTGATGCAGGAACATTGTCATAGCAGCAGTGAACTTGTGAGGTCTCCCCACGTGAACATGGAACCAGATAAATACTTCTAGAGTTTAAAGGTCATTTTCCAAGGCAAAGAAGCAGTTACCCCAGGGGCGGAGGAGTCTTCCACTCAAACCCATACTCAGGTTGGGAAGTGTGGCTTGATCCTGCAAAGCAGTGTTCCCATATGGCCTCCCTCTCTGCTCCCTCTTAGTGAGCACTCGCTATGTATGAGTCCCTGATAGAAACCTGAATCCCTGTCTTTCTTCACAAGCTCTATTCCAGACAGCTTGGTGAGGGCAGAAATGTTGGTGCTTCAGTGCTAGGATTCATCAAAAACAGACACCCTGAGTCTGGTTGGCGGGCTGGATGCTCCCATCAGTGGCACATGTCTTTGAGAACATGATGGGAGCAGAGTAAAACTCGTCAGTCTAAAAACAGAAAAAATGAAGATACTTACCCAGAGTACCCTGGGCGGCACAGATTCATTCTTTCATTCATTGTCTTGTGGGTCAATGATAGAGTGTTTGGTATGTGCCTGGAGCAATATAGACGGGACTGTTCCCATCACAACCCAGCCCTGGCCTTTATGGAACTTGCTAGTCTTTAAATCCAGCCTGTTGACTAGTATGTTAGAGAAATGGAGGATAAGAGCTCAAGATATTGAGAAAGAAGAAATCAGCCTTCTATAGAGTTAGTTCATACAGAAGGCTTCACAGAGGAGGTGATTTTTTTGGAAAAAAAAAATAAACATAACAATTATCTAAGCAGAAATAGGAACTGTTCGGTTTACAAAAGCCCAGAAGTATTAAAGAATCCAGAATCTCCCAAAAGCAGAGGTTCCAAATGGCCGGTCTAAGATTATTGCGGGTGAAGCGGATAAGGAGAGGTACGAGGGATGAGAATAGAGGGTGGAATCTTCCCCTCAACTGTTTTGGCTTTTATTATATAGCCATGGGGTCCTAGGGAGCTTTCAAACATCTGATTTCAAAGATTCACCTGTCTCTCAGGTAACTCTGTATTGGCATGAAAGGGTCATAAATAACAAGAGGCTGCTAAATCACAAGACAGGAAGGGTCCCCATCTTCTGAGTGAGACATGATCATGGACCAAGCTTACTGAGAAGTGGAAAAAAATCAGAACTGGCTCAATTCTGGTACAGCTGTTCCTTCACAAAATTAAAACACCATCAGTCAGGAGCATGGCCATGTGGTATTGATAGACTTTCCATGGATTAAAAACGGCACCCCTGATTAAAAAGGAAGACACTTACTCTGAGTCTTCTCTTTGAAGGTTACCTGTCAGAGCTTGTGCTGGGGGAGTTGCGAGCTGGGCTGAGAGCCCCTCTTCTCCCACAGAGATTGCTGGGAGATGTATCTGGGGGCTGAAGAGAACATGACTCTGTTGCTTCTCCTTAATGTCATGAAATCCCGAAGCCCAAGAGAGAAAAATGGGCCATCCAACACAGAAGTGATTATAAAAACTGACTTTCATGTTGATTGTAGATTCTTTAACATGCCTCTCACCCCATGGTGTGTGAGAAGAAAAAGTGTGACAGGTCTTACCCTGAAGGGAAAGGCACAGCACTTGCTGGGAACTTCTGCCAACCTGGCAATCTGGTGCTACAGCCAAAGTTGTCCTCCAGAAACACAGAGCCGAAGGACATCATGGCTGACCTTTTCCTCCCTTTGCTGAAGGCTGCTATTCAACAGCTGGCTTTCCCCCTCTTCTAAATCATCCTTTGATTCTATATTCTTAGGTGTGAAGTTGTTTTGTGAGAGACTCTAGAGTTTGCAGCTGGATTTTGGGAGGCCATTATGAAGGAGCCCAATAAACTCCCTCCTTCTAAGTTGCAAACACCAATTAAACAACTGTGCTTGCACCTGGAAGGGCAGAAATTGCCTTAAAACCCTTAATCTGTAGCTGTAATTGTCAGATCATATGTAGAAATGTGGAATTTGGGAATCATTATGGATGATAGTGAAATAGCCCATTTATTACCCTTTCTCGGCTTGAATGTTTCTTGAGTGAGTTGTTTTCCATTTATTAGCCCTGGCTATATAATGCCAAAGCATCTGATCCATGGAGCCAGAATTCAGCCCATTATTTGCTGCATAATATGAAAATTAAATAATACAAAAAGAATTGGGGTGGAAGTGGCCGATGCAAGAACAGGAGAGGACTGGGAAGGGCATGGGCTGTCATCCACATCGTTAGAACATTTAGATTGGCTCAAGTTTTCGTATAATTGAAAACTCCTTTCTCAATGATGTGTTAGGGATCCAATTCTTTTGAGTGTCAGAGTGACTCTTAGGGATGGCTTCATGAAAATTCAGTGATGCCTTCCCTTCTGAGTCAAGCAGTCATTTTGACCTTTCTGGTTAGGATTTTGGGATATTTGGTTGGTAGTATACAGGACTCAAAATATGTTCAGTGAAAAATTAG